GATGAAAAGAATCAGGTGCTGACTACTAATATTTGGCTTGATCAGGTAAGAGGACTGCAAACAAATATGTTTCCTACTTTTATTGCATTTCTCATTTTGTAAGCTTCATAATAATGAAACATTTTTGCAATTATATGATATTTGACCCTTTTGAGCACTCATCTGTCAGAGTAACAATGCCTGTGTAATGCATACACACATCATGTATACATACTCAAACACACTAAGGGTCAAAGAGGAAAGTCTTGGATGGTGCAAGATGAAGACACAATTCGACATGTGTGCAGGCTTGATAAATTTGGGCGAGGAGAGGATTGGGTTAAAGTGTCCGATCATGTTTCAGACTTGTGTAGGGTTTTTAATTACTTTAGGATGTGAGTGCAGGGACTGGCCAGCTGGTGCTGCAGAATTAGAAGTTCAATAAATGATTCATGACAATTCCCGCCCAACTGATGTGATTGTATATACAGATGGCTCTGTGGTAAGGGGCAGACGAGGTGCATGGGGGTTCATAGCGAAGGCGAATGGACGTCGCGTGGCGCAACAAAGCCTGACATTTGATATCACAACGTCTAATTTGAGAATGGAGGTGGAGGCAGTCACTGCTGCCTTCCGTTGGCTTGAGAATCAGCTGTACACACATGTCGTCATTGTAACTGACACACAGAGCATGCTGGGAAAGGTGGAGACAGGCATGCTCCGTGCAGAGTGGCAAACATCACTTCAGAGGTCCCGGGTGGTTAGCATCCTTTGGATATTTTCTCCAGGTCATGCCGGTGTGTGGGAAATCAGCAGGAGGATAGACTGGCCGGTTCTGCACCACATGGTGGTTAACTGATATATGACAAGCTGCATTTTGTGAGGGCCCTTTGAGAGCGAGTGAACAGTGCCGGGGAACAGATAAATCATTACTGTCTGAGGATAATGGCACTGCGAGGAGTTACAAGGGGATCTGTGGGCGAGACAGATATACAATCAGAATGTTACTGGTAGCATCAGAATTTTAACTCTTCGCTTGCTGCTGAAGATAGGGCCGACGCGCTTATGAAATTGTCCTGAGTGCTGTGATGTCAATTCCTAATTCAACATTCAACATTTAAACACACACACGTACACATACTTTTACATTCTTATATGTACACGTACACAATTATATACAGACATACGTACTACATACATACACGCACCTACATACACACGTATATACACCAACACACATACATACACAAACAAAAAACACACATGCATACAGACATTACATACATGCACAAACACACATACAATCACACATTCAAACACACACATACACGCAAACATACGCCCTCAATAACAAATATACACTTACACATATACATACGCCCATACATACATTCATACATAACACAGATACATGCATACACACATGCATACATACACTCACATACTTACCCACATACATACATACATACATACATACATACATACATACATACATACATACATACATACATACATACATACATACATACATACATACATACATACATACATACATACATACATACATACATACATACATACATACATACATACATACATACATACATACATACATACATACATACATATACATACATACATACATACATACATACATACATACATACATACATACATACATACATACATACATACATACATACATACATACATACATACATACATACATACATACATACATACATACATACATACATACATACATACATACATACATACATACATACATACATACATACATACATACATACATACATACATACATACATACATACATACATACATACATACATACATACATACATACATACATACATACATACATACATACATACATACATACATACATACATACATACATACATACATACATACATACATACATACATACATACATACATACATACATACATACATACATACATACATACATACATACATACATAACATACATACATACATACATACATACATACATACATACATACATACATACATACATACATACATACATACATACATACATACATACATACATACATACATACATACATACATACATACATACATACATACATACATACATACATACATACATACATACATACATACATACATACATACATACATACATACATACATACATACATACATACATACATACATACATACATACATACATACATACATACATACATACATACATACATACATACATACATACATACATACATACATACATACATACATACATACATACATACATACATACATACATACATACATACATACATACATACATACATACATACATACATACATACATACATACATACATACATACATACATACGTACGTACGTACGTACGTACGTACGTACGTACGTACGTACGTACGTACGTACGTACGTACGTACGTACATACATACATACATACATACATACATACATACATACATACATACATACATACATACATACATACATACATACATACATACATACATACATACATACATACATACATACATACATACATACATACATACATACATACATACATACATACATACATACATACATACATACATACATACATACATACATACATACATACATACATACATACATACATACATACATACATACATACATACATACATACATACATACATACATACATACATACATACATACATACATACATACATACATACATACATACATACATACATACATACATACATACATACATACATACGCACGAATACATATATACACATACAATCTTTCATATATGCACATAAATACATACAAAAATACATACATAGATAACTAAACATTTGCGCTTACACTACATACAAATGCATACATACACTTGCACCTACTGATATATGCTCAAACAACTATACACGCACAAGTACGCACATACACTCATACATCCATATCACCACACCACTTGTACGTGTATATCACACACACACACACACACACACAATCACACACACACACACAATTACACACACAATCACACACACACTATATGTAAATAACATGACAATGCATATGAATTTTTTACACCTTCTGTGGCATATAATCACTAGTAAGCATGAATTTGAAAAGTTTGCTGTTAAATGAGTACATACTCGTATTTTTCAGATTGAGTGGGAGGTGATTCCATAAATGAGCAGCAGAATATGACAAACTTGTTTTATATATATATATTCTAGGTTTCGGCAAATGCAATAAATTTAGCCGTTTGCTGATCTTAGTGTTGGCGTGAATCAACCTAAAAAAAAGATAATCTGGAGTGCTCTGTGCTAAAATTGTATGAATAAATTTGGTTTTATTAAATTTAATCGTTTATTTAATGGGAGAATTCTTAGATGGCTATAGAGATTATTTTTGTCGGTATGTTTTCTATCAGAAACTAGGTGTAAAGCACGATTTTGCAGAGAACACAGTCGTTTTGGGTTAGAATAGAGAAACCATCTCAAACTAAGGAATAATAGTTGATATGGTCTTGAATGTAGAATACGTAAAATATTGTTAGTTTTCTCTGATCAAGAAAGTGCTTAATTTTGCCTAACTGATAAACTTTTTGTGCTACTTTCTTTATAAATACTCTCAAAATACCATAGACAAAGCAGAGAAGAAGTATTTTCATTTTAGAAGATCTGAACATCAAGGAAGACTGGCCAATGTACAGCACTTTGTCTCGGAAGCTGACATATTTTGTCCATATCGAGCGCTATTGCTGATTGGAAAAAAATTAATAGCTGAAGGCACAGTACCAGGAAGAAGGGACATGGGCCGACCAACATGAAAATGGGAACACGATGTAAGTGACACACTAGATATAGGGGCGAGAGAGCCTGAGGGAGACCGAGTTTATTTCAGTCATACCGTGATAAGAGCGACGTTCTGCAAAGGACTTGCTATACGATGATGATGAAGCATAAACAACAGATTGTATCATTTATTTATTTCTAATTTTTTTCTGTTTACCCATGTAACACGGAATACTTTTAAAGAGCAAGGCAACTAACCTTATTTCTTCCGGTTTTTTTTTTTTTTTTTGGTTTTATGTTATACTCCGGAATCCAGTTGCCACTGTTTCTTGTTTCCTTCTAATTTCTCATTAATTACTTGCTGCATAACCAAATGCCGGTAATTTTCCAAACGCGTTGTTTCTATAAAAATCAACTAACCGAGTTGAGCAATTGACTCTGATTGATTACTAGCCCAAAAAACAATAGACATTTGGTGGGTTTCTTAAGCAAACTAATGTTCTGGTTATGCCTAGAATAACTGACACACGTAATAGGATTAAATATTTTTTTCAGAATGCGTTGATGTTCTTTAATTGTGCACTACAATTTAATTCTAGTAGTAAACAAGTCAAGTAAACGAAATTTTTCCCGCCAATGGCGTATCGGCATTTTATGCTAGGCTCATATTGTATGGTTCAGTCGGGATTCGATGGGTGATATAGTCAACGTTTGGTTGGGACGGAGCCAAAGATCCTTTTTAGAGAGATACAAAATCGATGAGTATTCGAACGAGAGATCTTTGTATCAGAAGGCCAGTGCCTAGCCTTTATGCTACTGTAGCTCTGTTAATTGACGTAATATGATATTGTTTGCGCTACCTTGTCAACCCAGTGGTCCTGGTTTAAATCCTCCCCTAGACAGGAAATTTTGTTCGGAACTTCTCAGGAGCCTGCCCCCCCCCCCCCCCCCCCCCCCCCCCCCCCGGTGAGAGTTCCGTCGCTTCCCATTCATGCCGTAGCGGATCGTACGGCCTGTCCTTTTTTGTGGAGGTGTTATGAGATGGCTTTGCTGGACGTTCGTTCGCCGTATATAATGTTTATGGGAGATTGTGTTGTCGTGGGTCTCTTGAAGGCGCCACAGGCGCCTATGTACAAGTAAGAAGTACTGCATAGGGAAGCGCAGAAGGCACGACTGTTCGTTAGCATCAGACTGTGATGTTTTATATTTAACCGTT